TCATAACAAGAATATATTGAAAGAGTATGCTTTTTTCTTTTCTCAAAACTACCAATACATCAAATATGATATTAAGTGTACTCATTTCTATTATCATTCATAGATGTTGAGTAGCCTACTTTTTAAAAAATAAAAGATTCTAAATAATATCACTCACCTCAATTTCTGATGCACTATAATGTTGCTCTACAGCATTACCACTTTTGTTTAAGAGTAGCTCATATGTCTTTGTTTTTGCTGTTGTCATAGCTGTCCGATGGCGATTCATTATTGTCGACAAATACCTAACAACTGTTTGACTACTTCTTTTTTTTGTCTACGCCGCCTATATGAACCCATGAAATTAACCCTCGCATCTTTCTTTTTTTTCTTCTTTCTTCGTTCATTGTCTCGTAGCGTCGTTATTTTTCACGCTGTCTCGCTATCTACCGTAAGTCGTTGCTTCAGGCAATTAAGAACGTGTAGAGTGTTCTAGTCAATATAGAAAAAACTACTAAATTAAAGTTCAACTGATATCATATATGCGTAGATCTCTAAACTATAATCTATGCTGATCATTCAAAATAATATATATATATATATATATATATATATATAACAAAAGAGAGGAAAAAAAATGAAAACATCAATGCAAGGCTTTCTTCTCAATTAAACAAATACAAGAAGAAAAAAAAATGATTGATGAACTAAACATTAAAAAACAACGATACATATAAATGAATTGAACAGGTATGTCGTATTGTTCAATGAGATTGTCGCGAAATAAAAGTGAGTATGTTATCTTATTATAACTATCGTCTATGAGCATCTATAATATTTTAACATGAACTCCTTTGTTATTTGTTGATCAAAATTTTCTATAATGAGGATTCAATTTGTTAAAATCACTGAGCATATACTCCCAATTATGCCTGTCTACTTCTCTTGTCACGCATATACCAATGTTAACTAATGAGAATTTTACATTTTCTTACATACAGTATAAAGATATTTGCTGTTGTCGATAGGCGTATGGTAATTTTCTTCCATATGAAATAGTTTGAACAGTATATATATATATATAGTTAAATACAATGATACTATGTTATTTGATCAAAGATTTAGTAGATGGTTGTTCATAAGAAGTAATGAAAAATGAGAAGAATCAGTGTAATAAAGTTGAACAGACGACGACGACGATGAAGAAATGGATCATATACACACTTAAAAGATTTCATGATTGACCCAACTGACCCCAAAAGAAATCGACCAGAAGAAAATAAATGTGTTATTCATAATGATATATAGACAGAACTTTCTTATAATATATATATATGAATAATTCTACAGACATAACATGAAATCTCTACTTTCAAAGCCAATTAATGCATCTGTTTATATGAATAGAAAATGGAGAGAAAAAAAAAGAGCTTTATATAAATAGAGACGGATAATCTCGACAAGTGGACTGTCAGACATTGAGAACAAATGAAGGATAGATGGAACATAAAAGAAAAACAAACACGACTAAATGAACAATTTACTTACATGTTCGAAAAAGAATTGTTTGCCAGGTGATATCGATTGATCACCGTTATACAAAACAACAAAGAATCAATTTCTATTGGCTATTACAAACACAGAGGCATAATTGTATGTATATACAAATTGAATTATCAAAAAGATACTTTCAATGTATCAATACCGATTGATCATGCCATCTACAAAAAGAAAAGTTTCTTTTTGAACAATATCAAAAATCTTTCAATCAGACTATGGAGTCATTTAATCTTCTCCAATCTTGATGACCTCTGGACATTCCCCTGTCTAAACATATATGTTATGATATTAATTGACTACTATCACTCATACACCTTTAACAATACTTTTTTACGTCATAGACATTGACTAGACGAAACAGGTACAAAAAAAACAGGTGAATTGTTTGTTACTAATTGAGATCGATTTTTTTTTCATATAGAATTTTATTTATACAATTTCTTTTAGGAAATATTAAAAAGAAATCAATTTAACAGCTATTTTGATTCCTAGCATCATCATCACATGTAATTCTCATAATTTTAATATGATAGTATTTATGACTATCTATTATTTGAAAATATCCTTTTTACATGATAAAAATTTTAATAAATATATAAAAGGAGAAAATAATTTAATGCTTTGTTAACAACAACACATTCGATAACTGATTCAAGTCTTTTAATTGTGTCTTTCATCTGCAATGGGCCTTATTAATTAATGATTCATCTTTTCATCATAAGTGAAAATTCTATATGGTTTGATTGAGTGCTCTTTCATAGTTTCATTGCAATTATCTATATTCTTTGTGCATATCACGAATATACATTTAACATGGCTAACCTTAGTTATTAAATAAATTGGCTTGTAACATTAACTCTTTACCTTCCTATTGAGTCATTTTTGACAGATTCATAGAAACTATTAACTTGAATTAATAAAGTATCGAATCAAGAAGATAGCCCCCAAATATTGTGTAGAGTCTTCAATAAACTACAAATTCATAAGAAAATTAAATTTTTTTCATCCTGTGTCGGTTAGCGAGGGAAGTATTCCAACTGATTAATTGTTTTTGACTTGGAACTGTATGCATTTTTAAATGAATGCCGTAGCTTCCTTTAGGAACGTCAGAAAAACTGATTCACTGGAATTGGTCGAAATTGGCTTTGGTTAGGGATAGAAATTTATTGTTGCACAGGCTGTTACTTTACTAGTTACTCAGTAACCGAATATCGGCGAAATTCTGGATTTGAATCTTTCATCAAGCAAACATATTTTCGATGAAATAACAACTTTTTTGTAAATTTTGACGAAAGATTTTTGGGATCAGAGAATCTGAATGTGCAAGCCGTTTCTCAAAATTTTATACCTGATTTTTTTCACTAGAGAAAGAGTTTTGAGAGAAATTAATGGTTTTTTTTACACAGTTTCATTATAGGTGTTCGAGGTACAGTTTACTTCATCGAGAAATGAACAACATAATTTTGAGAAACTGATTGGAGATTAAAATTCTTCGACCTCGAAAACCTTCGGTCAAACTTTATATAAAAAAAATTGTTATTTCTTAAAAAACAGCTTTGTTTGATGAAAGATTCAAACCCAGAATTTCGTCAATATTCGATTACTGAGTAACTGGTAAAGTAGAAGCCTGTGTAACAGTAAGTTCTTACTCCTAATCAAAGGCAATTTCGATCAGTTCGAGGTTAATTTCAAGAATTGAAATTGGTGCATTCCTAATTTGTACAGAGATAAGTCTTAACGAGAGTAGTTCATTGTGAAAGTTTCAGATCTTTTGATTTGCTTCTATTCTGAAATAAGAATATAGAATCTGTCGATGTATACGAACAATGTAAAAGACACGGTTTTACCATAGCTGTATCTAAGAATAGGAACAATGATTAGATCTGAAACATTCACAAAAACCTATTTTCGATAAGGGTCGTGTCTGTGCAAAGTTTCAAGTCGAAACTCGAAAATCAGTTTTTCTGATGGAAATCAGAGCATTCATTTAAAAACTACTGTAAAAGTGCAATATCTCGTCAATAATTAGCTAAGATCCTGAACTCTTTTAAAGATATTCATAATTCATTTAGGTCTACATGATGTGCATAACCTCGGCTCAAAAGCGATTGATCAGTTGGGAACCTTTCTCGTAGGATTTATGAGTTTGAAAATTATACTTTTTCCAAAAAAGTGAAATTTATTTGATTTTGTTACACAGACTGATTATTTTGATGTTCATCGGGCTGACATATACTGCTACGGAGATAATCTATTTACAAAGAAGTTTTAAAAATTTCTTGACAGAAGATATGAAAGTATTACTTTTCAAGACAATCACGATCATTTTTGAACTATTCGTAGGGATTAACATAAAATAATGTTTTTTTCTAGAATTATTTTATTTTTACTATAAACTCACAAATAACACAATTTTCATTTTTAAAGATTTTATTAGAACTAATAACCACTCAAAAAAGCGTTCTATGGTCATTTTTGAAATAATTTCTTATCGACAAAAGATAGAAATCTGAAGATTTTATTATAGCAAGATTTAAACAATATGAATGAATAATTTCGAATCCGAATCACAAACCAATGATTTCATATTATAAAAACAAAATGAACACTAACGATACTGACACAATCCTAGAAATAAAAGGTTTGATTCCAATTCATAAATAGTCGCCTTTGCAAGTGTCTCATCAGCCTGAAAAATATCTCTTTAAAAAACAAAAAACACTTCACACAGATAAAATAACTGCGAAAAAAAACTAAATTAACAATAAATGCAATTTTGATATCATTCAAGACGAATGAATCATTTATAGTCCATTCTGCATCTCCACAATAAAATAACTTTATACAAATATTAGTGTTATAACTAACACCAACATAAGCTATTTCTATAGTTGATTAAACCGCTAACGTTTTCAAACATATATTGATATTTTTCTTCACCAATAAAATATTCGATAAAATTTTTAATAATTTTTTAATATGTTTATGATCGATTATACAAAGTGCAGCTGTTTTCTAAAAAAAAGACTTGCACAAAATTAAATTTTTTATGTAATGGTTTTCTTGTCATTAGAAAGTAATTATAAAATTCATTTAAAAAAAAAATTCATTACCCTTGAAGAAATCAGAGAGAAATTATCAACAACGTATCATTCCTCAGTATCTATACCAACAATATATCGTCATTTTCATGAATATGGTTATAGAAATGTTTTACCAAAAAGTATTCATATGTTAAAACTTGAAGAAATAAAAACGATGTATTCAATGCGTTCAACAACATCAAAATGATGATTTTACATGCACAATATTTACTGATGAATCTTCATTTCAACTTTTTCGTAACACTATTCGTCGTTGAACAAAACATCCAAATGATGAATTAAAATGTATACCTAAAAATCATCAAAAAGCTTATGTGTGTAGTGCGCTGTTAGGTGAGAGATGCGTTGACCTGTTACATGTTCAGAGGCAACTTTGATTATCCATATTATATTCATGTTCTTGAAAACTATCTTCTTCCTGCTGCTAGACGTAAGTGATGAAGGAAAACAACACAGCCTTACTATTTGTTTCTTCATTTTACAATAATTTCGTTAAAATTAGCGTTTACAGCAAGATAATAAACCGAAACATACTAGTGATGTTACTAGACGATTCATCAACAACAATGTACCACAATTATTAGAGTGGCCATCTAACAGGCTAGATGTCAATTTTATCATAAATATTTGGTCGATCGTGAAACGCAAAGTTAAGAAGAAAAAGAAAATCGAAAAACATTGATGAACTCGAGCTTTTTTTACCTGAAGAATTCAAAAATGTTGATGTTAATATTGTAAAGAATTCTGGAATGTTCAGGAAAAAAAGATGTTTGTCTCCTATTGTTTCTAAAAGCGCATGAATAAAATATTAAGACATAGCGTTGAATATTACTCGTCATAGGCTATCAGCCAGTATACGGAACTACTTTAGAGTAACATATATATAAGGATATATTTGCATAACAAAATGTGTAAGTTTTTTTCAAAAACAGCTGCATAAATTCAATGATCAAGGTTGATGATAAAAATAAATGTAGTTCATTTGAAAGCAGACAGTAAGGGTTTGCATATGAATTGTGTTAATGATGAATCAATTACAATATGCATAGATGATTATCAAAATTATTCGCACTATTTTTTTTACAAGTCTTGCTTCTCTTTTTCTATTTTGTTTTTTTTTTATATATCAAGCATGACTTGTGACCTTCAGTATTTTTTTCGACTTGCTGATAAATGATCCAAGCTGAGTGCTACTTGAAATAAGTTATAATTTCTAACTATCGGTATACGAGACATAATAAAATGCTGGTAATTTTTTTTTACACCTGTAAATGTCTTGCTTAATATCGATTTATGTGTGTGTGCAATCAAGTGTGATGGAATAGACCAAAAAAGAGAAGCAAAATGAAAAGGTACATCTATTAAGGACGATGTTCCTTATCAAATAGGAGCTATACATATATATATTTCTACTTATCAATATTTTTCATTAAAGACAATAATAACAATATCACGAAGGACGATTGTCATACGTCATTGTATTATTCAAGATAAACAACATAGCTGATTGCATTCAATATGGGTGTTGAATCATCTAAATCAAGTCATGTTCGATATGGCATGTTGATTTTTTTGTTGTTCTTCCATATAATCGATAAAATATTCAACCTTTGTTTTTTTTTTCAGGACCAATATTCTCTGTTCGTGATCGTTGGTATCGTATTTTAGGTGTTATTGGTCAAGGTGCTCAAGCTACTGTATATCGATGTGAAGATCAAAGTGCTACTCAATATGCTGTTAAAGTTTTTTATTTTTCACGTGTTCATCGTTCTGAAAGAGCACGTCGTATTAAAAGTTTTATTAAAGAAGCACGCATTTTAAAAGATTTGAGTAGACGTTCACATCATTTTATTCATTTGCTTGATTATGAATATAAACGTGAAGGAAATATCGGTTATATGATCATGGAATTAGGTGAAAGTAGTTTACGACAACAACTAACAGGACTACCATTAAAAGATCCAATTCGACAAGTGTATTGGAAACAGATTGTTGCCATTTTGACAGCTCTTCAAGATGCGAATGTTGGTAATTGAAATAGAGAGAAATATTTTAACATTCATTTATATATGTTTTTGTTTTTTATTTTTATTTCAAAGTACATGCTGATATTAAACCTGAAAATTTAATTCTAGTAAATAATGTACTCAAATTAACTGATCTAGGTGTTTCCTTTCGAATTAATGCACCAATACAGACGATTCAACGAAGTAGAATTATTGGTACTATTGGTACGTATTTACACTAATCATACTTTCAATATTATATATTATACACTTTTTATATGATTACATCCATTTTTAGATTATATGGCACCTGAAGTATTTTCTCATACTATCGGTTTCAAATCGGATGTATGGTCAGCAGGGATTATTCTATATGAAATGACCTATGGTCGTCCTCCTTTCTTTGGTATTCAGGATCGAAATCTAAAAGTGGCTATTATTGCATCAAGAGAACCTATACGATTTCCTCGACGTAGAAATCGTTATTTAATCGATTGTATACAACAATGTCTTCAACCTATTGCAGAATTTAGACCAAGTGCAGATCAATTAGCAATGCATCCTTATACAGGAATGTAGTTAACAACAAGAGAGAAAAAGAGAAAATTCTGTACTTCAGTGTAGGTATGCCAAAGCTATTCTCGGGTACTAAGAAGTTCTCGAGAATAACTGTGAAGAACAGAGTTTTTGCTTTTTCTTCATGTTATTTTTGCTTTATTGAAATCTTGGATTTTGTTATTAGTTTTATTCTTCTTCAAGCGAAGAAAACTTCACTAAGAATATAGGAAATTGAATTTATTTTTACAGATGTCACTAATGAACAGTACTTCGACTATGTATAAATATTTTGTATATCGACATACTATTAATTCTTATTATTCTTCATAAAATAAATTCTTTTTTTTCCACTAAATGTTTTTTAAATGAAATTTAAAATAAGTTTTCATTTGTTTTTGTCATATTCAGATTCGTTATCTAATCTACAAATAGTTCATATTGTTGTTTTTTCTTTTTTTCCACGTTGGACAATGAGATTGGAGGGAAGGTTTGTCCTTTTTGCGTCATTCAGTTGATGATCTACATTGAATAATACATCGACATATTTTTTTAAAACTCTTCGTACATTTTATTTATTTACCGTACTGCATTTCAGTTTACTTATTTACAACAGTGAAAGACGTCATAGTGAGGTGTGCGCCCCCTATATTTTTTCCTTCGCCCGCAACCTTGTACATTAAAAGGGTGACAGTATAATAAATAATTTACGCATTTGATAAGAAAGCACTTTTTTATTTTAAATATAATGGCTACATTTATTGATGCTATACACAGCACTACGTGAGAGTTAAGCCTACGTCTAAAGTATAAAACTACCCTTTAGTAGATAGATAAGACATTTCTATAGCAGATGTTCTACCTTTTGATATTATAATATCAGAAGGTAAAACACTTTCACGATGAGGAACACCAGATATAATGTTACTGTATATTCACGGTGGAATACTTGCTATAGGAATACCCCAAGAATATCTACCTTTTTGTCTATACACTTTGATCTGTTCAGCATACTTATGTAATTCGAATCGAACAAAAATCATTCTGTATGATGTATAGTATACCACCGATAGTTATTCTCCAATCGGAAATCTACTGCCGAGATACTGGTGGTAATACGAACAAACGTGCAACGACATGAGTGTTTTTTTTTTATAGTTCCATAATCATTTGATTACGAATCGAAAAAATTTTCTTTCTAGATTTTTTTAATCGATACTCAAAGAAAATATGTCGCAAACAACTTCATTTCCTTTCTTTGATAATACTAATCAATATCGAGCTGATGGCAAACCAAATACATCAAATAAATTTAATTTGAAAACACTTTTGGATTTTTCAAATTTGTAAGTATTTTAATTGTATTTTTTTTTTGTTCTTAAACTAATCTTGTTTTATCTTATTCAGACAACCACGGGTTCAAACTCATTTAAAAAACGTCTATACTTGTTTATTGGGTGCAACATTATGTGCTACATTAGGTATTTATTTATCTATGGCAGGTTGGCTTAATTATCCTCGTTTGGCAATGTTTGCATCAATAATAACAACTATTTGGCTTTTTTCAATTGATTTTAATGGTCGTACACAAATGAAATGTTTTGGATTAATATCTGCTACAGCTTTGTTTACGGGTATTTATTTAAGTCCATTAATTAATTTGGCAATTCATGTCGATCCACAAATTGTTATAACAGCTTTATTATTAACAACAATTATATTTGTTTGTTTTACACTTAGTGCTTTATTTACAAAAAGTCGAACTTATTTATATCTTGGAGGTAAAAATATGAATAGAATATATACATATTCTCATATAAGTCTATTGAAATATTTAGGTATACTAGGTACAGGCACATCTATTATGCTTTTACTTAGTTTGATGAATATATTTGGTCGTTCTCAACTTATTTTCAATGTAAATCAACAAAAAAAGAAAAAGAAACATATTTCAATGATATAATAAAGATTATTTTTTTTTTATTTTTAATTTAGGTTAATCTATATCTTGGCTTGGCTATTGCTTGTGGATATATTTTATATGATACGCAATTAATTGTTGAACGAGCTAATAATGGAGATATGAATTATGTTAAGTAAGTAACAACTCTCTAGAAAAAAGTTCTTCGATATTCAAATTTATTTTTATAAGATAATTCGCTTAACATTATAGAATATTTAATTATAATTTTTAATCCTGGCAAACTTTGATCTCGCATATTTCTATTAGTAAAATATTTTAGTAAGATTTGTAAAGATAATATTTCTCGTTTTTTCTCAAAATGATGATTTCTTATCAAAATAGCAGGAATGTTCTGAAGCCAATTGAAAAGGTTTTTTAGGAATTTGGTGAGCAAAATAACGAATAAAACGCTGAGGAAAAACGAAAATTTTTCAAGATTGTTGAGTCACATTTTGTAAAAACAGTATTTATGATTAAGAATATAATGTTGATAATTTATCTAACACTTAGATTGTTATTAATACGAAGTTATCGTCAAAAAAGAAAATATATAATCTTGAACTTTAATAAAAACATTAACGTATATATATATGATTTTGTTGTTTTTAGACATGCACTTCTTTTATTTATCGATATGGTCGATTTATTCGTTCGAATTCTTATTATTTTACTTAAAAATGTATGTCTTTTGTTTTGTTTTTTTTCTTCTTCATCTTCATTTTATTTTATTTTTTTGTTTTAGTCACAAAGCAAAGATAAGAAAAGTAACAATCGCTAAGAACCAATCCACGTAAAATATTCTCGATTTGAAATAAGAAAAAATATTTTTTTTCTTTTTTTTTTTTGATGTTGTATTTTGCTTTTTTGTCAATTAGCTATATTCTTCCTTTACTTTATACTAATCGCCTAGACATATGCTTTAAAACATAAATTCTTGCTTGTAGTTACATGTATTCCTATTATTCAAAGTCGAGAAATAAATTAAGACAAAATAGATACATCATCAATGTCGTTGATCATATATTGTATGTCCTACGGAAATATATATCTAGCAATTAAAAGATTTATAAATATGTTTGACAATCGAGATAATGTGTTTTCGGATAAGAAAGAAACAAATAACTATCGTTTATGCTACTTATTGAAATATTCAGTGTGCAGAAATTTTAACGGATATTGAACGTATAAATAAGAAAAGAATATCAAATGGATCGTTAAATGTTTATTTATATAATCTATTTAGATCGAGTTGATTAGAATGAATATTATTTTTATCAAAAATATTCAGAAACTGAACCTTCTGGTTGTTATTATATGTTTTTCGTTCTACTATAGATATACAATCATAGGACGCATTACATTAGCGCCTACATGTACTGTACGAATTGTTTTTTTGATATGGCCTTCTGTTCAGTAGAAAAACGAACTTTTGAATCACTTCTAGTTCTCCACGAGAATACAACTTGTTGGACTCAACTTTTTACCATAACTAGATTATTGAAAATGATGAGATTTATATTCGAAGAAAAAATTTTTAAAGCAGATCTTCAAAAACCTCTGATAATTTAACTGTGATAAATATTTGAACCTGACAGATTGTACTCTCACAGAGAACTAAAAATGGTCCAAAAGTTTGTTTTTCTATTGAACAGAAGGCTATATCAAAAAAAAAAAAAGAAACAAATTGTACCGTTTGATAGCTGCTGACGAGATGTATTAAATGACCCCTATGATTGCATTTTTACGGAAGATTGGAAAAGTACTAAGCCTATCAGACGCAAATATTTGCATTCAATCTTTGAAAGATATCAACTTTCCAACAGATGTTATCGCAGTTGTGTTTTTTTTTATTTGACTGCAAGGAATAATAAAAAAAGAAACCTAATTTTATATTGAGTAGATAGTCGATTGCAACATCGTGTGTGTGTGATAACATATTAGTTGTGTTTATATAAATAATCAACTATCTCTTTCTTTCTTGTCAGCGATATTCAAAAAGATTTTTCATGATTTGAGATTCATTCAGTTTGTTAAGTATTCAATAATCTATTACTAAAATAGTCATTTGTTGCAAGAAAATATTTTCTATTGAATTTAATTAAAAGCAATAGTCTGTATTTATGACATTTCGTGTAATAACTAGATTTATTCACATTTATTTATTGAGAATAATAAAAAATTGATTTTTGAAATTTCTAAAGAAAATCTATAAAGAACATGTCATTCATCATTCAATATAATAATAAATTAAAAATGAATAGTATACTTGTTCTTGTGTTTCTAGATAAAATTGGTGTCTGTCTCATTTTTTTTTATTATAGATTTACCAACACCTATTATTATTATATTTGTAACAAATCATAAATAGATAAGAAAAAAGTCAAAAGTTTTATATAACATGCATCGATGATGTTTATAGTTAACATTTGATATATTTTATTACATGATATTTATTAAAACAAAAAACAAAAAAGAAATTTTTAAGTAAATTTCCAATTGATCTAGAAGTAGATTCGTTTTAAAACAAACATTAATAACTTTTTCTATATTTTTTATAAACTAATATTAGAAAATTAACATTATCTTATATTTACTTATTTTCATAGAAATAAATTTTTTTCGAATTTCATCTTGTTAGAATTTATTTTTTTTTTCTATGCAAAAATAATTTCATCAATAATATGTGCAGTTATCACAAGACTACAAAAGTTGAAGCGGTTCTTTTTTTCCTTCTTTTATCTTGCTAAAAAAGAAAAACAAGAAAAAAATATTCACGTCTACTATCATAATTACACTGTTGGATGAATAATCTATTCCACATAGTAAAGCGTTTAGAAAAAATAACGATAGTAAGGAAGGAAGAAAAATGGTAAAATGGATATACATATATATATTCTATTAAAACTTGAATCGGGTGTATAGTGGACATTTATATAACAATTACGCTTCATTTATCTTTGTATAACATACTATTGCACCCAATATACACATACATACGATATATTGTTTCACCTGAGTAAATGCATATGCACCATTTATTTGCTATAAGATAAAATCTTCA